TTGGACAAACTCAGTTTGGATTTAGAAATGCTCAAGTAACCAGAGAAGCATTATATGCAGTAAATGTGCCAATACAGAGATGTTTAGATGTAAACCAGGACATCTATGTCTGCTTCCTAGAATATAACAAGGCATTCGATACAGTGAAACTTAATTCTTTAATAAAACTACTGAGAACAAAGAACTTCGACACACGGAATATAAGCTTCTGTCAGATACACTTACTCCACGAAAACTCACAAACATTCACTTCTACTGCTTACTACCTCTGGGGAACCACCAGAGAACAACGACTGTTCGCCTTGCACCCTTGGAAAACAACTGATTATCTTTTCTCCCTCAAAAATCTAGCTTAACTCTCATTCCTACATACCTATCCCACTTTTTCAATCTCCTCCAATCAAAGCTCGTCACACTTATGTCCATCTACCATTTAGATAACAAACAACAATTTTACCTACAATTATATAATTCCTAAAAACTATTAACATGCTAATCGGTTTCTACAAATTCTTAAGAACTAACGGAGAAATATATTATCTAAATATTTCTATTCTATTGTCTTATTCACTGTATATCGACGTACAAGTCCATTTGGAAAACCCGCTTGCATTGTTCATGATTTCACTGAGCTCACTCACGTCACTCGAATATATTTTATAAAGAAAATAATTTATGCATATCTTTAAATTTTGTTTACTACAGGTAATCCAGGATAATGGACTTTCATTTCTTCGAAATATTTTTTATAGTTTATTAGTTGAATTATTTGAATTATTATATTTTGTACTTTGAAATATATTAAGAGCAAACCAATATTATTTTCAATTTTACATATCATAACAATATATATATATATATATATATATAATATTATATATAATTATATATATATATAATATATATATATATATATATATATATATATATACATATATCCATATTGATCATACGCAATCGAAATCTGAGTTTGTAATAAATCTTCACCACCAAACGTCTGCAGATCTTTTAATCCAGGACTATTTAGGTTGATTAGAGTGGGTTGTTCAGGCCATCTGTGTCTCTCCGCTCTTCGATCTGGTGAGAAAATTTGCGCTACCCCATTCTATTATAACCATGTAATATCGATATTTCTTGTGAATCTAACTTTGATCATACGCGACAATTCCCATTTTGCATTACGATTATAATATGGATTAATATTTTTATTTTACTAGTCATAGGCAGGTAAGTTCGGTAGGATGTAATTTTTAGGTATCAGAAGTCAAATTTTTCAATTTAATCCTTACAAAAGGATAGATAATATATTAGTTGCTGTCAATATGTCGAATTTTATTATGTTTTGAGGGAAATCCCGAAACAAGTCGATTTTTGTTATACAATACCCATCTTATAACGTACATGGAGTAGGGATGACGTCACCGGTGTGGGTGTAGTGACATAACCTTTAATTTTTTTAAATAAAAATTGGTATAATACGACACCTCATTTGAAGAAGAATTTAATTCTCTATTTAACGACATTACATTTTTAAATAAAATATTTTTTAAGGGTACAAAAACAATTATTTTTAATTTAAATTCAACTAAATTACAACAAATGATTTAATTCATAATGTACTTTAAAGTAACCAAATTATGCATAACAATTATTAAATTAAATGCTCGAATGCACGGTTCCTGCATGACTTCTGAGTAATACTTAAAAAAGCAAATAATAAAATAATAATGACACAAAAAGTTATCTCATAAACACTGAAACTTTTGGTCAAATGTTAATTCAAGCAAGTGATAGTGGCATAGTTACTGTAATATTTATTGACGTAGGTGTTTTGATTTTGTGAATTGTCATCAGTTTTCAATTGTAATTTTTACTTTTGATACTAAATTATGGCTTACCTAAATGAAACACAATGCATAGAAATATTAATTTAGCGATGCGGAGATAACAATCAACAGTAAGTAAAAAAGTCCGAAAATTTGGAGAAACTGGGAACGTTAAACATATTCCAAACGCTGGGCATCCTAAAATTGAACACAATGTGAAGCTTGATATTTTATTAAATGTACACGACAATCCTCACAGTAGTTCAACACAAATGGATGAATATACTGGAGTTTTCCAACGATCTGTATTACGTATTTAAAAAAATACCGTCCCTACAAAATTCAACTACATCAGAAATTAAACGACGACGATCCCGATCGCCGGCTTTAATTTTCTGAAATTATGCAGGATTTATGTATCCGCAATGTGGATACATTTCATCAATCAAATCCTTTTTTCCGATGAAGCCACATTTTATATGTACGTATCAAATGCGAATGGAGAAAAACCCTGGATGACTGAGTCACAACGCAATATCCTCAGAAAGCGATCATTAATGACCGAATCATTGGTTCTTTTTTCTTTAAAGAAAATCTAACAGGAGAACGTTATTTAACTTTTTTGAGAAATCAACTTACCTGTCCTTGCTAACATGTATCCAAATGCCAATAATCCAAATTTACCTAGTAAAAATATCTGTTTTCAACAAGATGGCGCCCCTTCGCATTACGCACGTGAAGTACGTCAATTTTTAAATCATTGCTTTACCAGGAGGTGAATCGGAAGACGAGGTTTTATAGAGTGGCCAGCAAAGTCGCCAGATCAAACACTTCTAGACTTTTTTCTGTGGGGTTACATAAAATCAAAAGTTTATATCAATAGGCACCAAAACTTACAGGACTTGAAAGATAGAATTATGTATGAAGAATGTACCTACTTGATGAATGTGTCCGTAGATTCTCATATTGTCAAGAAACCGATGGATGCATTTCGAACATTTAATTTAAGATAATCATTATGCATAATTTGGTTACTTTAAAGTACATAAATAATTAAATCATTGGTTATAATTTAGTTGAATTTAAATTAAAAACAATTGTTTTTGTACCCTTAAAAAATATTTTATTTAAAAATGTAATGTCGTTAAATAGAGAATTAAATTCTCGTTTAAATGAGGTGTCGCATTATACCGATTTCTATTTAAAAAAATTAACGATTACGTCACTACATCTACACCGGTGGCGTCATCACTATTCCATGTATGTTATAAGATGGGTATTTTATAGCAAAAATCGACCTGTTTCGGGATTTCCATCAAAACTCGACGGTTCTCGAAATAATGATAATATTCCATAATTAAGCCGTTCGCTGTATACTTGTTAGATATACTGCACGGTTTGGTGTGGTTTATCGCCCTCATGTTAATTTCCGCTTTCCAATTGCTTCTTCTGCTGCTTGGTTGATGCATTTCCTGATTTTTTGCCAAGTATCTTCTATTCCCCATTCTGGTTGTAACTCGATCTCTTTTAGTTTGCTGGTAATCCTGTTCTCATAAAGGAGTTTTGTACTTTCTATTGCTAGCGACTCTATATTGTGTATTTCGATGAGCATTGGGGGTTTTTTGTTTCATTGCAGACGTTATAGTAGCATCTTGCATAAAACAAGGTTGTGATCGGTCCCTAGGTTAGCAGATGTTAGGGCTCTACTAGTACTTGTGACGGTGTTATCACTCGATTTGTGATTAAAAAATCTATCATTGATCGCTGGCCTCGATTATTGTTAAAAGTGTATTTATGTTGGTCTTTATGAGGAAAGTATGTGTTGTTGACTCTCATTTCATTTCTAGCGCAAAAGTCTATTAGTGCTTCGCCGTTTTCATGTTTTAATGTTGAAAACATCTAAAATCTATCTAAAATAAATAGTCAAATTCCAAACAAGATGTTGGAGAACAGAAATACTCCTACCTCTTGAGAGTACAGATATCAAAGAGGCCATTAGGCTCTTAGGTCCTTCCACATTGCCACCTGAAAGATCTATTATCAGACCAACAGACTTAGGCTTCTAGGAAAGCTAATTAATCGTTTTGGAGGTACATTTATTACTTGGAACGGTTCTAAAAATACCACTTCCAGGCACTTGGCGTTGGTGAACAATTGCTCTGAAGTTGCACACATTATGCTTGGTCATTTCCGCTGTGGTTTATTTACTCAGTTCATTTTACCATGATAATACCTGAGTAAGCAGTGCCCAGAGAGAACATCTGTAATTACTCTAATATCAGCTTTCTGAATTTCTTACAGTATTTTTAGGTACCGAGCAGAAGGCTGTAATAACCTGTTTGCTTACCTTTGGCTTGGCCTATTTTTTCAGTAGGCTACACCAAGTTTCCTTGGTGTAGCCTACTGAACATTAAAACCATACAACATTAAAACATACAACTCCAATGGGATAATAACTATCTACCATGGGTAGATAATAACTACAATATATAAACCTTGAGAACCAAAAAAAAAAGTGGACGATAAGAAAGTCTTGAATAAAAAGAATCTCGTCTGAAATGCAAGAGAAGACTTGGAAGAGGAACAAAGGATAGTGGCATAGAACGTTAAGAACGATTCTTACGAGTATATGTTTCATTTTCGTTTCGATAGCGTCTATTTCACCCATTAGTTCTCAATATAAGAAAGGCCTAGAATAGGTTTTTCGGCGAGATTGGGAAATTGAATTGACAGAATTAAGTTTCTATTTGAGTCTGGCACTGGAATAAAACCATGTAAGACATATTGAGGGTTCCCTGAATAATTATTGATTTACAATAAAATTAGATCTCCCCAAATATATATAATTATGTGTGTAGGCAGCAGTGTTGTAAATTGTCAGAAGTTATCTCTATCTCAGGAGATAAAAGATTAGAAAAAGATGAAAAGTAACGCTTACTATTACACGTTATCAGTAAAAACCGTATTTCTGCTCGTTTTCGACAGTGCTTCAGATATTGACAGAATTTGCTATTAACCTTCTCAACACAGCGAAACTTTTAGGTAAAATCTTTCATCCTAATCCAAAATAGTCGCAAATTCGTGAAATATACTGTAGTTAAAAATGACTTATTTCTGCTAACTATTCTGCGATTTATTCTGAAAGTAGATTATTGAGAATGTATTTTGTTTTAGGATGCAAATCATTTTTTAAAAGGAGTGTTAGAAGAAATTTAACGTACTCATGTCGAGGGAGCCGGAATTGTCCGATAGATCAACATCATAGAAACCAGTGCCAATATTGTCGTTTAAAAAAATGTATGAAAATGGGCATGCGAAGAGAAGGTATGTATTTGTTTCGATATATATTTTTAGTACTACGGTTGTTAAGTGTACGTTAAGAAGCTTTAAGCTATTTTTATTCAACAAATTCGAAAGAAGTCTCTCTTAAAATAAAAAAAATCAGTCCCATTATTTAATCAATCTATAAATACGGTGCTATAAATACATTTGCGGCTGTTTGCAGAACCATTCCTTATATTTCTACGCCCGGATTGAACTGACGCGTTTTAGTCAGTATTTTAATGCACCAAATATATTGTAATCATACGCTGATAAGTCGGGACTATAAGGGGGATGCTCAAGACTTCAAACCCCCCAAACAAATCTTGAACTGTATGAATACCACAGGAAGAAGTATAGTTATGCTCAAAACTGATTCTTTCATAATGGAGTGTAGTAGTTATCGTGATGCCGTGTATTGCCCATCTCCAAATATCTCTGTTTCTGGTCATGTCTTTTAACTCATGCATAGGTATTTTGCATATTGCTGTAATTTGGTGGATCCATCTTGTTGGGGATCTTCCTCGTAGTCTTCGGCCTTACACCTTTCGCTGGTTAATAATTTTTTACATGCTATCTGTGTCTGCTCTCATAACATGTTCTTTTTCTTCTTATAGTGCCGTGCACCTATAGTGCGTTAGCGAATTACCTTAAGGCCAGACGTCTGTCTTTTGCGGCATGTAAAAGATCGCCAGTGTTATTTATGCCTGTCCAGTTCTTTATGTTTAGTAGCCACATTTGTTTGCGACCTACTCCTCTCTTGCTTTCAATCTTTCCCTGGATGATCAGTTGAGGGATTGCGTATTTTTTCCCTCTCAGTATATGGCCGATTGGCCGTTTGGAAGGTAAGAAAACCCGTATATATGTGCTTCATTGATTTTCAAAGGGCATTTGATCGCGTTCAGCATACCAGACTAATTACCGCCCTGCAGAGCATCCAACTAGATGAAAAAGACATCAAACTTATTGCCAAACTTTACTGGAACCAAACAGCCATTATTAATACCAACAACAGAGAATCAAAGCCAATCAGTATTGAACGAGGCGTAAGACAAGGCTGTATACTATCTCCCACCCTCTTTAACGTGTATTCTGAGAATCTATTTAGGGAAGCTTTAAAAGATCAAAAAGGAATTATCATAGGAGGAGAAATAATTAACAATATACGGTACGCCGACGATACTGTGATTCTAGCTGAAAACATCGACGATCTGCAGGAGCTAATCAATAGAGTTGACATGGAATGTACAAATTGGGGACTGTCGATAAATATCGATAAAACTAAATACATGGTGACCAGTAAAGTGGATATCGGCGCAACCCAACTGATATTAAACCAACAACCGCTGCAGAGAGTTCAGAGATTCAAATACCTTGGATGTTGGATTACCCAAAATCTAGATCCATCCTTCGAAATTCGATGTAGAATTGAACAGGCAAGAAACTCATTTCAAAAATTCAAGCCTCTATTATCCAATAACTCATTAAATTTGGAAATCCGTGAAAAGTTTACAAGATGTTACGTGTGGTCTGTACTTTTGTATGGATGTGAAACTTGGACTTTAAACGCCGATATCATGAATAAAATCGAGGCGTTTGAGATGTGGTTGTATCGAAGGATACTAAAAATTCCATGGACTAGCAGAAGCAGAAACGAAGAAGTTCTTCGAAGAATGGGACATCAACGAACTCTATTAAATATTATTAAGAGGCGTAAACTAGAATATCTTGGACATATAATCAGAGGACCAAGATATGAGTTCCTTCGGCTAATTCTCAACGGTAAAATCGAAGGAAAGAAATGGATAGGACGGAAGAAACTCTCTTGGTTGAGGAATTTGCGGCAGTGGACAGGTTTGACAGCGGACCAATTGCTACACGTAGCGCAAGACCGAGATCAGTATAACAATATTATAAGCATGGTAGTCGCCGACGTTCCGCAGGGATATGGCACTCTAAGAAGAAGAAGAATATGGCCGAGGTACCAATTTTTCGCACCTTGATCAAATTGAGTAGTTCTCTCTCAGTAGCCATTTAGTAGAATACCTTTTTCAGTTTCGTGCAAAACTTCGATAAATATTCTTTCAGAGTACAGATTGAAGAATAGAGGAGACAAAATACAGCCTTGCCTCACTCCATGCATGATTTCCACATAGTCAGTGTGTTCACCTTCAACTCTGAGATTTGCTGTCTAATTCCAGTAAAGATTTCCAATTATTTTCAGATCTTGGTTGTTTGTTATGCTAGACTTGCGAGAATCTTCCTATAAATTAAATTTATTTTTAAAAAGCGTACATTTAGATGACGGTTCTAAGCGTTTTTTATATATTTTTTTTAAAATAAGAACACAAACAATTTTATTCCATAAGTGGTTTTCACAATGTAATAAATTGTACTTAGAAAGTACGAAAAAGAGCCTTTTAAAAACTTCCAAAAAAAAGGAAAAATTTGTAAAAGGACGATTTTTTTGAAGTAAATACTATTTAACCCTCCATTAGTCGTTAGGAAAAACTGAGCATCAAGAGTCGTCAGGGTGTCTGAGACCGAAAATTAAAAAAAATAGTTTTTGCTATAAAATTCATACAAATATTTTATAGTGCATAATAGAAATTACTGAAAAATATTTTTGAAAATATTTTATTGAAAAACAACAGACACAAAATGAAAATCACTAGTAGAACAATATATTGTTATTTGTAATATAAAATTAAATTAAAAAAAATTCTTCAAATCTTAGGAATGGAAAAACAGTTCTTAATTTTTAGTTAAGAAGAATGTAGATTAGCTAAAAAAAAATAACTCAGGTGTTTAACAAAAATATAAAGTAAAGTATTTCACTTGATTTAGTAATGGAGACATTTTAAGTTGTAGCGTAACTCAGGCAAAGCTGACATATTCCAGGAATATGTTCAAGGTACATGAATTTTTTGCATTATATGCATGAAAAGCGAGTACATCTGTTCTTTTTGATACTACAAAATGCACAACGACCCTTTGTTTGATTTATTTCTGGAATTACAGTAACTACATCTGTGATACCGCAAATTTGCGAATCGACATTTGAGACAACTGGCAGATTTATAGAAGTAACGTGACATTCTGAATAGGGATATAGCTAAGGTATTACTTCTACTTTCTTCTTCCTTGTATGTCACATCTTGTTCCGATTCACTTTCGCCATCACGTTCCTCAATTCGATCGATTTCGTTTTCATTTCCCTCATCGTCAAAATAATTTTCATCGTCGGTAGGAACCATTTCCCATAATTCCAACAAGCGTTTTTGTTCGGCTTCAAAGGACATCTATAAATAAGAATTGACAAAAACTTACCAATAAAATGTAATAATAGGATGCTAAATATTTACCTGATCTGAAAGTTATGCCAACAAGTAATAGCTACACCGTTAGTTGCTACAGACTCTCGCACCGAAAATAACTATAAAACTCGCACAACTGTACCCAGGTAAGAATGTACACTAACACGAGTTTGGTTGACAGGGAGAGGTACAGAAAGTGGCGATAGAAAAATAATAGTTATTTGTAAATCCCGAATGAATAATTCTGTCGTCGGTGTGTGACACCGATAGCGACTAACGAAGGGTTAAATGGGAATAAGCCAATATAATTTAATTGTGGCTTATTCCCATTTAAATAGTAATTACTTTAAAATGCCACAAGAAAATAGCTTCAGAACAAGACTTTTTTGAAGGATCTAAAAATATTTTTGGCAACGTTGACGTTTTAATCAATGTTTAAACAATGATCCCGTAAAATTAAACGAATAATTTCATGAAAAAATCTTTCTTTTCTACGTAAAGTTCAATTTTGACTGGACTAATAAGTAAATATTTAATCTCCAAACAATATTTTATTTATAAAATGCCAAATACTCCAAAAACCAAAGACCAGCTACACTGTGATCTTGTTATCGTATCTTACAAGTCCTCGAAAAGTTTTCAAGATTTTTTCTTTCATATCCAGTATCTCCTTCTCTATAAACGTTTCAACGCGTATTAAACACTTGGCTGTCATCAATGTAATTCCCAAATGGTCTCTTCATAAAGTAGGTAGATGAGTAACCCACAAAGATAAAGCAAGGAAAAACCACAGACCCGCGAGAAATCATTTCAATCAGTTGTCCGCAAACTACTGGTGTACCTAGGGAAGTTTGTCGAAGGGTCTTTCGACAACCCCCATTTCGTGGAGCCGTGTTGAGCGAACCCTCCCTTTTCAACTTCAATCGGGCTCCTTGTTAAATTTATTATTCTTCGTCGACCACATTTCAACTATACTGTGGTGCATATAACTTTGATTTGATATGTTCACATTTAGAAAATAGAAAGATAGAAATTTTACAAACATCGAAACTACATTATAACTTTTTTGACTAAAAAATACTGTAAAGCATTTTAAAACAAAGAAAAAATAAAAATAGAACAAAAAAGACAAACTTACATAAATATAAAACAAATGAAACAAAAACAAATGATTCATACTACAAAAACTATGATATTAAGAAGGAAAACTATATTAACTTTAAAAATATAGCCCTCAAAGAGTCGTCTATTATATAATAAAGTGTCATATTCCACTCTGATTTGGGTTCTTTAAGAAATTATTTTTTTTCTTTTCGCAAAGGTCTAGGAACGCGTGAAGCTCACTTTTTTCACTTATTATACTGATACAAAGATGCCTGGATATCAATCAAGATATATACTCATGTTTTATTGACTTTAACAAAGCATTCGATAAAGTACGACATAAATAATTAATGAATGTCCTGAAATCAAAGAAGATTGACTACAACGACCTCAGGATCATATCAAATTTATAGTACAAACAGCGAGCAAAAGTACATGTTAACCAACAGCTGTCAGAAGAAATTGAAATTAGACGTGGATTAAGACAGGGATGCGTATTGTCGCCAATTCTTTTTAATGCCTACTCCGAAGAGATCCTGAAAAACGCTCTTGAGGGTGAAACAGCTGAAATAAAAGTAAATG